GAACTGCAAGTAGTCAACAAATGGTCTTTTGCATTGCAGTAACTACATTGTTGGTTTTTAGCATTTGCAGTAGAGCACGCGAATGAGCTCCGATTGTGAGGCTTGCTTGGCACAGCTTTCTGCTCCTGCTTTGGTTTTGCCGATTCTTCGGCCGAAAGATGCTGATATCTGCGATTAAGCATTTTTTCGCATTCAGCCCAAAGCGGCAGCTTTTCATAATCGAGCTGTTCTTCCCATTTTTGTTAGGTCACAGGATCGACTCTGTTCAAGACGAGATGAATAAGCATTGCATTCGAGATCTTTTGGTCATCGCCTATCGACAACAAGGAACCATATATCGATGAAGTGGTATCGATTAGGTTCCTTAAGGACGATGCAGATTGCTGGGTCATTTTGGGAAGACTAAATAGGGCAGCAATATGGTTCATAAAGATAGACCTGTTTTAAGCTAGCCACGGCTTTTTCATAATTACTCTCGGTTACTTGGAACGCCCTTACCGTTCCCAACGCTTCACCAGAAAGGCATGAAAGCAAATGGTTAAACTTTTCGATAAGTGGAATGCTTTCGTCATTGTGAACAAGAGTCTAAAATAAACTAATGAAGCTTTTGAATTCCGAATATTTTCCACTGAACTTTGGCAGAGCTAACTTCGGAAGTCGAGCACGAGTTGGGGCAACAGAAGCTGATACTGAAGGCATCGTATCACTGGTTGTCTTCAAGGCGTCGATAAGCGACATTATCTTTGCCTTGGTTACAGTTCTTCCAGAGAGTTCTTCCAACTCGGCTCCAAAGTCATCGTCACTATCTATTTCTTCGATTGATTCTTGAACTTGGCTTGCCTTGGCTATAGTTGCTTTCAGTACGTCGAGTCTGCACTCGAGCTCTGTCAGCTGCAGCGGAATCTCCCCAGCTTCCAGCCGGTCCTCTAGTCGGCGAATGCCTTTGACACGGGAGCTGAGCTTCTTTTTAAGCTCTTCAAGAATAGGCTTATGATCTGATTTAGGATTCATCTTGACTCTCGATACTTAAGTGAATCACTAATTTTTGTATTTGTATTTGGCTTTTCTCACGATAATATTATTTGCTACGGCGCAAATCGTCGAAACAGGAAGGTGTACCCAAATTCGGTGGAAAACAATATACCCGGCGACTAGAGGGTATCGCACCACTTAGCGATCGGCTTAATACGGACCTAGGGTGTTGAAGCCAAATGAGGCGAAAAATCGATATACCCGACGATTAAAGGGTATCGAGGTACTTGGCGATCTGTTTAATACGGACCTTGGGTGTCGATGCCCAATGCGGCAAAAAAAACCGATATACCCGACGATTAAAGGGTATTGAGCCACTTGGCGATCTGTTGGTGCAGGCGTTCCAACACAAAACACACAAGAACAGGAACAAACAGCAATGGTGACAAGCGAAAGCGAAAACGAAAAATTCACCGCTGCAGCTATGAATATATGCACATGTGTGTGTGTCTAAGCTGTGTTGGCGCTTGTGTATGCTGGGCCTGGCTGACCGACCGATTGAGTCGGTTGAGATCAATTGAGTTGCGAGGCACGCTTTGACAAATTGACAGTTGGATCCTTTGCACCAAAACTATATACCCGACGATTACAGGGTAGCGCGTCGCTTGGCGAACGGTTTGACTCAAACGCGCCAAACGAAAGAACACACCAACAACAACGACGGTCAGCAACGGTGACGAGCAAAAGCGAGAACGAAAATTCGCCGCTGCAGCTGCTATGTTGGTATGTGTGCGCTTGGCCAATGATATAGTTGGGTCATATTTGCGCAACGAAAACGAGAAAGGGGGAAAGTGGCGACAGTGATTGCAGTTATAAATTATATGTATATATGTTCTGCGTCCAAGATGGTTTGATGTATGTGAATATGTGATATATGTAATATATGTACAAACTCTACTAAATACATGCAAATCTAGCTCTACTATGTCATACGCATGTGCCAAGAATTGAAAGCGAGGTGCACTTATTTTAGCACAAGACAGCAACTGCGAGATTTTAATGATTTTGTCTTTACTCGAGCTTTCAAATTTTTGCACAAATACCTCTAGTATGTATATACATAATAAGATCCTGGGAATTCCACTTTCCTTGGCAGGTGGCAAACGTCTTTGGGAATGGATATCACTCGGCGGTTGAGATCTCTGGGTATTTTTTGCGTGTATGCTTGTTAGCCGACCGGCGCGGTAGTTTTAGGTGTGATATTAGGGGTTGATCTGCTGCACACACACGCGACGCGGGCAGGTGTATTACATACACTTAAAATATTCAATATGTGTTTCACATATATTTTTCACCACTCGTGTCACTGTCACTTTCTGCCTTTAGACTATACTAATTTGCGAGTCCACCCGGGGGCGCCATGAAATTTTATAATATTTTTTCTAAATTAAAATTTAACAACTGTTTGAGATGCCAAGCTTTTTTGGCACCTATATTTATCCAAATCAGTTAAAGACTTTGATTTAAACGTTATAATGTTTATTTATACCGGCGGCTAGCTGAAGCCAATTGCTCGCTCTTTTGCCCAGCCAGATAAATGTTCACAAGCGGGGGTTCAGTATGCAACCTATGCGGCGAGAGATTAGCATAGAACTACTTGGGCCACGACGGCCGATCAATGCAAGAGCCGACGCAGCAGGTGCAGAGCGCCCTTTAACAGGGAGAGCGCAGCAGCACTGCCGAACGCTGGGGACATACATAAGCTTAGGTTTCGATACTCTTATACAACTAGTTACAGCTACATTTAATATTGTGATAGACGCTTAAGTAGCCGCTGGCCCGAACATACTCCCCCCGTTGGAAGCTCGCCTTTCAACTGACTTCTCAAGGGGCAGCAAACACAGCCGAGTAACGGCCCTCCTGATGGTTCCTGAAGCCGTCTTCAAATCAGCCACGCGGCCTACTCCATCCTTGCCTTTGACGACGTCGACCACTCTAGCCAGTGGCCAACGCATTGGAGGAAGATTCTCATCCTTCACCAAGACGACATCGTTGACGCAGAGGTTTTTCGCAGGCGTACGCCACTTCGAGCGCTCTTGCAAAAGAGTCAGATACTCTTCGCGCCAACGCCTCCAGAATGTCTGCTGCAGTTGAGTGACCCGCTGCCAACCATCCAGACGGTTGTAGTTGAGCTTCGTTAGGTCAGGCTCGTGAATTGACTGATGCGGGCCTCCCAAAAGCAGATGAGCAGGCGTCAACACATCCAAGTCATCAGGATTTTCTGAAAGCGAGAGCAAAGGGCGAGAATTAACAATTGCCGCGATCTGGCAGATCAAGGTGTGGAGCTCGTCGAAGCTAAGGATGGATGGCCCAACTGAGCGGTACAGGTGATACTTTGCGGACTTCACGGCCGCTTCCCACAATCCGCCAAAGTGCGGAGAGCGCGGGGGGATGAAATGCCAGTCGATGGTGTCAGCCAAGCAGCATTCATGGACTTCCTTCATGTGCGAGTCGCTCAGGAAAAGCTTCTTCAGCTCCAGAAGCTCATTCTTAGCGCCAACGAAATTTGTAGCATTGTCCGACCAAATATGACTTGGCCTTCCTCGAGTGGACGTAAAACGTTTCAGTGCGCCTAGGAACGATGCGGTGGTCAGATCTTTAACAAGCTCCATGTGTATGGCCTTAGATGTGAAGCAAATAAACACGCTTATGTAGCACTTGATCGGAGGCCTCGTGCGGATTTCTGATCGGTAGAAAAAGGGTCCACAATAGTCCACTCCAGTTACTTCGAAGGCCCGCGATCCTTCCAGACGCTCCTTAGGCAAGTCCCCCATAATGTGCTCAACCATGCGCGGCCTCGTCCTGAAGCATCTTACACACTTGCTAACCGCTTTCGAGACGGCTTTGATTCCTCCAATAGGCCAATATTCTAATCGAATTTTAGCAAGCAAGGCGCGAGGTCCGGCATGGAGGTTAAGTTGATGTTAATAGCTTATCATTGCAGATGTTACGGGATGTCGCTTGGGCAAAATAAGCGGGTGCTGAGCATTAAACGGGAGCGATGAGTTGCCGACACGACCTCCAACTCGAAGTAAACCTAACGGATCGATGAACGGAGATAGCGAATTGATAGAGCTAGACTTCCTGACTTGCCCATTGCGTCTAATCTCCTTTATGTCCGACCACAAACTTGCCAGCTGAACGTATCGAACAAGAAGATGCGTTCCTTGATGTATGTCAGAAACCGTGAGTCCAGGATACCTAAGACGATGAACGAATTTATGCATGTAGGCGAATGTGCGCTGCATGCCAAAGAAAGAATTAGCAAATTTGCATCCGGACGTGAGATCGGCATGTGGAGACGCGATCAGCAATACACGCTTGCGAAGCTCAATGGTCGGAGTTTCAGAAACGGCAGATACAGGCCACTCATCCTTAGAACCTAACAAAAACGAGGGACCGTGAAACCACAGCTCTGACTGGATGAGGTAGTTGGGAAGCGAGCCTCTGGAGAGGATATCAGCGGGATTCAACAATGTGGGAACATAGCGCCATTCCATGCCTTGCGTCAACTTCTGAATTGTTGCCACTCGATTTGCCACGAAAACCTGAAATTTGGCTGGCTCATCCCGAATCCAAGATAACGCCGTAGACGAATCCGACCAGCAGTAAAACTGACCTGGGAAAATTCCCGTCTCCTTTAAGTTGCGCATAACCTTCGCAAGCAAATGGGCTCCACTCAATTCCAGCTTTGGAATCGACAATGATTTTAGTGGCGCCACTCGAGACTTTGAGCACAAAACATTGCTCGACGACTCCCCTTGCCAGGACACGACATATATGCAAGCACCATATGCTTCCATGCTGGCATCACAAAATCCATGAACCTCTACAATTGTGCTGGAATTATGGACAACGCGAGGAAAGGAAATGCGAGAGATGCTTGCCAAACTGTTTCTCAGGTCAATCCAAGTTGAGTGCAGCGCTGTCGGTAGGCTTTCATCCCAGTCCAAATGTTCTCTCCAAAGCTACTGAAGAAAGATCTTGCACCTGACAATAACAGGATTAATCAATCCAAGAGGGTCGTAGAAACGCGCAATAGTTGACAAAACCGACCGCTTGGAGGGCCTTGAATTTGAGTCCAGCGCGGACAAGGCAAACAGCAGCTGATCCGACGCAGGGTCCCAAGCTAAACGAAGAGTTTTGGTAATGTCGCTTCCATCATGAAACCGTAGAAATTTCTCCACGTCGTCCTCCGGATTTCCATCAAGCACCTCCTGATTACTCGAGCACCATTTTCTAAGCTTAAAGTTACCGCAAGACAGTAGACTTGAAGTTTGGCGCATCTTTTCCATGACCTCTGCGACTGAGTTGCCGCCAGAGATGAGATCATCAACATAGAACTCCTGTTGCAGAGCAGCTGAGCCAAGAGGGTAGGGATTACTCTCGTCGATGGCCAGCTGGTGCATTGCGCGGACCGCTAAAAACGATGCAGCCCTCGTACCGTATGTGACGGTGTCTAATGTGTAGACCTGAACCTCGGACTGGATGGAATCTCGCCATAGGATACACTGGAGACAATTTTCGGGCGGAGATACCTTTACGCAGCGGCACATTTTACAAATGTCACCAGTGAGAGCGACGGGATATGTGCGGAACCGGATCAGTATGTTAAACAATGCTGGCTGAATAACAGGACCTGTCATCATCACATCATTTAAGGAGCATCCAGTTGATGTAGCTACATCGAAAACGACACGGAGCTTTGTCGTGGTACTATCCTCCTTTAAAACGCAGTGATGAGGCAGAAAATACTTGCAGAGGCTACGTGAGTCAGGATGGACTTTGGACATATGCTCTAAATCAGTATACTCCTTCATAAAAGCTGAGTAACGCTCCTTGAGCGCGGGATTACGATCCTGTTTTCGCTCCAAGCTGAGAAATCGTCGATACGCCTGAGTATAGGACTCTCCCAAGTGATCAGAATCATGCTTTAAAGGCAGTCGAACAGAGTACTCCCCTGATGGCAACCGTGAAAAGTGGCTTACGAAATGCACCTCACAATCCACTTCTTCCTTTGTACTCAAGCTAGCCTCCGCACAATTCTCAACTTCCCAAAACATACGAAGAGTTCGATCCAACCTTGCATTCATTCTATCCTCCGAATCCGGAGAATTTTGGGTTGCCGAAAGCGACGAGCTTGATACCCTCTGTCCACCACCAGATACGATCCACCCAAGCCGGGTCTTCTGCAGAAGAGGCAATCCATCTATGAGCTTGATTTGCCCTACGCAGAGAAGGTCATAGAATATGGTCTCGCCAATGAGGAGATATACTCGCTGAGGATTAAAGAATGCGGGATCGGCAAGCTGAATGTTGGAGGGAATGTTCCAATCGGCTACATTAACTGCCAGACTTGGTTGGCTATCTGTGATTGTGGGTGCGATGAGAGCAGTGAGTGTGGTCGAATAGTCCGAAGTGCGAGACTGCATGCAAATGCTGACGGTGGATCCCTCAGAGGACACGCTAGTATCGCCCAGACCAGAAACAAGGGCAGACGATTGAGTTCTCCTAAGCTGAAGCTGCTGGGCGAACCTGGAGGTAACGAGATGAAGCTGAGATCCTGAATCTAGAATAGCGCGACAAGGAACCAAAACGCCAGATCGATTCTTCACCAAAACAACAGCTGTGGCCAGCAGCACAATATCGGAGTGGAGACCTTGGGCAGCAAGAGAGGTAGACGCATGAGACGGCACACTGCTGGCAGAATCCTGAACTGGCGTAATAGCTCCTGGTTGTACTGCTCGTTCTGGAAGAGAACCAGCTGGGGAGCTTTGCGCTATAGATGAGTCGAAGTGCAACAAGGTATGATGCCTCCTTCCGCAAACTCTACACTGGCCACCTGTGCATGCACGAGTCCGATGACCCGATTTTAAGCAGTTAAAACACAGTGACAGCTTCTTCACTTCTTTGTGACGCAGAAAAGGAGATAAATTTGTGAAGATGCTGCACGAGTATATTCCGTGGGCCGCTGAATGGCAGAAAGGGCATCCAGACGGGTCGGCGGAAGAGTTAGAGGCAACAAAGGTTTTCTTAAGGTGTGTAGACTGGCTTTTTCCCACCTGAGCGCTACCAGCGTGTGTCGCTATAGCGTATTGCACGTTCTCCATCTTCTGGCATCACTTCTCCAGGAAATCGTAGAATTCCCCAGCTGTGGGTATCCTGTCCGATGACGCAGTCTCTTCCCATTTGGTTTGGGTCTTCTCATCTAGCTTTTGCAGCAGCATGTGGATTATCATGCATCCAGATATCTCCTCAGCACTTCCTAATGTCTGCAGGGCGCGCGTATGCAAGTTGACTGCGTCCGAAAACTCCCGAAGCCTTTTAGCAGAATGCGAATCTACCTTCTTGAGCCCAAGAATCTCCTTGATGTGTGCCTGGAAAACAAGTCGTTTATTATTAAAACGTCTGCCAAGTATGTCCAGAGCCACACGATAATTGGCACTGGAGAGCTCCAACGATCGAACGGAATCCAGGGCCGCATCCGAGAGACATGAGCGAAGATGTTGGAACTTCTCGATTTCACTGAGATCTGCATCCCCTTCGATGACCGAATTTAACATGGCAATAAAATCCGCATATTCCACATAGCCACCGGAGAAGCTAGGTAGCTTCAGCTCAGGAAGCCGCTGCTTGTGAGCCATGATGATGGTATGACCTCCAGAGCTATTTGGCATGCTAGTGGAATGAGCAGCTACGCGCAAATGTCCTAGTTCGAGAGCCGCCAGCAGCTCGGCTTTCAAAGAAATGAAGAGCGTATCGAACGTTTCACGCAGCTCACTTCCAATCTCGTCTTCATCCAGTGATTCCAACTCATTATGGGACTTGTTGAACTCCTCACGCATTTCAGCCAACATATCGAGGCGCACATCTATATCAGCCGCACTTAAATTGTCGATTTTATTCCCCGAGAATGACTGGCCAAGACGCTGCAGCCGATCATGCAGAGACTGAACTTTACGCTTGTAAAGCCTCAGCCTTTTTGCCTCCATCGCAATATTTCCGCCAGCACCTGTATTCGGCTCTTTGCCCATGCCAACCGGTGTAATACAACGAAACAACGGAAAATGTAAGACCGCTTAAGCGACGGCGAAAGAACGGGAGCGAGAATAGAAGACACGGAAAGTCAAGGGCCGCGGCTGCAGCGGCGCAGAGCAAGAGAGAATCGGCGATTAAGCAACGGAATATTAGACGGCTGCAGTCGCACTGAACTTTCACTTTAACTGTTCTTATTTGCACAAAATGTATTTGTTGGTCGTTAAACGGCACAGCAACGAATATCTTATTCGATTTTTATAGTTTTTAAACGAAACGCGATTAAAAATTGTAGTTAAATCACGTCGGGGTCACCAATGTTTGAGATGCCAAGCTTTTTTGGCACCTATATTTATCCAAATCAGTTAAAGACTTTGATTTAAACGTTATAATGTTTATTTATACCGGCGGCTAGCTGAAGCCAATTGCTCGCTCTTTTGCCCAGCCAGATAAATGTTCACAAGCGGGGGTTCAGTATGCAACCTATGCGGCGAGAGATTAGCATAGAACTACTTGGGCCACGACGGCCGATCAATGCAAGAGCCGACGCAGCAGGTGCAGAGCACCCTTTAACAGGGAGAGCGCAGCAGCACTGCCGAACGCTGGGGACATACATAAGCTTAGGTTTCGATACTCTTATACAACTAGTTACAGCTACATTTAATATTGTGATAGACGCTTAAGTAGCCGCTGGCCCGAACAACAACAAACAAACAACCGAGTTTGGTGGCTGCAAATTCTGTATATTTTAACGAAAGACGGAAGACTCAAAAATGGGACGTGCGCTCGATTTCAATACTAATTTTCGACTTATTTTCATTTTCGTTATAACATATTCTTAAGCCTAACTTATCTAGGGCGGCCAAGCGGGGCGAATTCGACAAGAGCGAGAGAGAGCTTTATTGCGCTCCCGCTTCGCCCTAAACTATCTTACACTAGACTTCAAATTTTATCAAAATATAAAAATTAGCGTCGCGATTCGACAGACTCCTTTTTTGCGACATAACATACGAAAAAATGCACTCACATAACCAAGCGCTCAAACACGGACAACACAACGCACACATAGAAAAATCGAAAATCCACATCAGAGAAATAGTAAAACGCGCTGTCTTCCTGTAATCCCGAGATCCTTCAGATGGTCAGTGGTAAATCATGTGCATGAAGCGATAATGCATTTGGGGTGGCAGAATACGTTAGATCAGGCTTATGAGCAGTATTGGTTTGAATACATGTCCAAGTATGTACGAAATTTCGTAGAAAACTGCATAACATGCAAACTATCAAAGCCTCCATCAAAAAAGATTCAAATGGAATTGCATCCAATTCCGAAAGTCGAAATACCATGGCATATTGCGCATATTGATATAACTGGAAAGCTGAGTGGTAAAAATGATACCAAGGAATATGTCATAGTGCAAATTGATGCGTTCACAAAATTTTTTCGCCTTTATATAATTAGGATGCAAAAAACTGTTTAAAAGCTGTGAAATCGACCATATTGCTTTTTGGGGTACCTAATCGTATCATTGCAGATCAAGGTAAGAGTTTCGCTTGTGGACAATTTCGAGAGTTCTGTTCAAGGCATAAAATATAATTACATTTGATAGCGACAGGTGCAAGTAGGGCCAATGGCCAGGTTGAACGAGTCATCAGCACAGTGAAAAGTATGTTGAGAGCTGTAGAGACAGGTGAACGTTCCTGGCAGGATGCACTATGTGAAGTTCAGTTAGCCATGAATTGTACGACAAACAGGGTAACGAATTTTAGCCCGTTAGAACTATTGATTGGAAGAGAGGCTAGGCCAATGGGCTTGTTGCCTATAAATGATGAAGCTAAAATGGATTGTAAGCACGCAAGAGCTCAGGATAATGTAAATATAGAAAATAGGGCGAAATATGAAAAAGAGTGAGTTGATAGGAATAAGGCCAAGATTGTAAAACAAAAGGTTGGGGATCATGTCTTGCTTAGAAGTGAAGATCGCCATCAGACAAAAATGGATTCTAAATTCAAAGGACCTCTTGTGGTTGCGGAGTTGCTGGAAGGTGACCGAACGTGTAAGTATTTGCAGGAGAGTTTGCGAAGACTGCCGAATGAGCAGATTTCTGACGAGAATATTGAGATAAACGACAGTGGTGAAAAAGACTCTGGCGGTAAGACCCGTTCTCGTACCTAAGAGAGGTGCAGAAAGCATCAAACGCAGGGTCTAGATTTAGTCAACAATATTCATGCCAGGTATGGGTGATATTGTGTGATGGACATTGGATCTGAGGAGATCGTGGCAGTGGCGGTGCAAGGCGTCGCAGGGGTTCTGTCGTTTCTCATTTATGTTGCGGCAGGTCAACTCAGGTCGCTACATCAGCCCTCAACACAAAACGGCCCAAGCGGCCAAGAACCCATACAAGCATAGTATGTGAGAATACATAGTACACACACATTTACGAAACCTGAAAACTCCAAATTATTTTGATTCATTATCATGTCATATCATATCCTTTTGTGTTAAATAATCATATAATCTCCAAGGTATATTATAATAATAAATATTATAATAATAAATTAAATAATAAAAAAAAAGAACAAAAAATAACAAAATAAATACATAGTCCATAAAAAAATTAAATCAATTAAAAATATCATAACATATAACATATTATTTTATGTATCATAATTATATAATTTTCACGCTATAAATCTATGTATATACATATCAAAATATTTTGTCACACTGTTTGGAAGGAGTTCAACCACAAATCATATCATATCCTTTTTTGTATTAAAATCATATCATCTTCATCAATAATAATCTAATAACGAATTAATAAGTAATAAATAATAAAAAAAAAATAATTAATAAAATAATTAAATAGATAAATATATCCATATATCCATAAAAAAAACGAAAAGAATCGTGTGAGTCGCGTCCCCAGAAGCGACTCACACGACTACTATACCCGTACTCAGTCAGTATATACATTTTTGAGCTTATGATTTTTTAGAATTTTAGAAAAAAAAAAAATTTACATTTTACATTTTTTTGCTACATATGTTATCTACATCTACATCTACAATGTATATTTTACATCTAACATGTAGATTATAGATGTAGCATTCATATTCTACAACTCCACCGCTAGGGGTTGTTCGCGCACTGAACGCAGCAGAGTGTGCCAGCGAGAAGGAAAATGAGTAGCGTGCCTGGCAGGGGGGGGGCGGAGGAAACAACTGAAAATGAATTTCGTCATTCTGGCTATAATCTGTCTGCCACAGATTTTCGTCCTTTTTGGGGGCGGAATGGGGCGGGGCGAAATTTTGTAATACACTTGTAGCAGTGTGATATCACATGAGTCTGGAAACCAAATTTGGTTACCCTAGCTCTTATAGTCTCTGAGATCCAGGCGCTCATCGAGACGGACAGACGGACGGACGGACGGACGGACAGACGAACAGACGGACACGGCTATATCGACTCGGCTATTGATGCTGATCAAGAATATATATACTTTATGGGGTCGGAAACGTTACCTTCTCTGCATTACACACAACCACTTTTACCACAATCTAATATACCCCTTAACTCTTTTTTAAGTACGGGTATAAAAAATTAAAACATAAAAAAAATAAAGTACTACAAAAATTTGTAAATCCCGAAATCTATCAGAAAAAGTCTTTTGGTCCACAGCAGAAAGAAAAAGTTCAATTTTGTTTAGTGTAATCAAAACAGGATCATGAGTTAGTACTGAGATAATTTTCTGGCGTATTTCCTCATGCTCAACTTTCCAAACGAAACTATTAGTTTTGGAGGTTAACTGATATAAAGGTTTCATCTGTTCAAAAAACTGTGGAACAAACTTACGGAAGTAAGATGCTAAGCCTATAAATTGTCTCAATTGTGTAACAGTCTTTGGTTCAGATAGTCCAGCCAGAGCTTGTATTTTCTGCGGATTTGGTTCAATACTAACGTCTTTGACCAAGTATTTAAGATATTCTATGTCTTTGGTTCAGATAGTCCAGCCAGAGTTTGTATTTTCTGCGGATTTGGTTCAATACTAACGTCTTTGACCAAGTATTTAAGATATTCTATTTCAGTTTTAAGAAATGAGCATTTTTTTATATTAAATGAAAATCCTGCTTCCGATAGAGCCATAAACAAAATCGCCAATATTTCAAATGCTTCCTTTTTTTGACCTCGCGACTATCACTACATCATCAAAATAAACAATTGCATAGGAGTACGCCAAGTCACCCAGTGCTCGCGCTATAGCTCGCTGAAAAATCGAAGAGGCACTTTTTAGCCCAAATGGCATAGATAGAAACTCGTACTGGCCCTCGAGAGTTACAAAAGCGGTTCGCTCTATGGATCCTGCATCTATTGGAATCTGTTAAAACCCACTTACCATGTCTAAGCCAGATAAGTATTTACCCCCACGCAATCTGTTAACTTGATCTGATATCAGCGGCAAAGGGTATCTGTCAGCCACTGTATTTGAATTGAGCTCTCGATAACACTACTCGACGCGAGCTTTCCTCAAGGAACAAAACAAACTTTTTCTTAAAGATTTGGGGCTTGGAAATGGTTTGATGATATTTTTTTTTCTATGGCAGAGATTTTTTTTTTTAAGAATATTTAAAAACTGGTAACTTTTTTAAGCTTTTTTCAGAGTTAGCGCTTTTTTCACATAACTCTTGTATCTTACGTCTGGTTGTAAAGAACTTTGCTATTTTGGAAAGATAATTAAAACAGCTAGAAGTTAAGCCCAAACACTTTGTGATTTCAGCCTACAGTCTGGAAAACATAAATAAAAATAAAAAATTAAGATTTTTGTGCGGTATTTTCTACGAAATTTTGACTTTAAAAACTCAAGAAAAGTCGAAAAAAATTATATCCAAAGCAAACGCAAAAGGTTTGCACCTCTGAAAAAAGCTTAAAAAAATACCAGACTTCAAAAATTCTTAAAAAAAAGTTCTGCCATATAAAAAAAACATAATTCTTTAAAAAAATTTAAAGTCCCATATCTATCAGAAAAAGTCAGTTTGGATCCTTGAGGAAAAAAAAAGTTCGATTTTATCGAGTAGTGATATCAATACAAAATATTTTTTTTCTATAAAGGTAATTTCTTATTGTTTTGTAGCCAAATACGGAAATAATTTCAGTAATTTAGATTTTGTCGAGTTGTGCAATTGACCATTGAACATCGACAGCCCATCACCATCACATATTCGGTGCAGTAGAACGCAGTCACCGAACATTCAACGAGTATGTTCGCTCATACATATCGAGTGAAAAGAATAATTGGGACGAATGGCTAAAGTACTTTACATACTGATACAATACAACACCATCCACAGTACATGGGTATTGCCCAGTTGAACTGGTGTTTGGTAAAAAACCTTAAGATTTATGTATTCTTAGAAGAAACTAAGGTTAGTCCAGTATACAACCATGAAACGTACGCTAATGAAGTAAAATACATATTACAGATAGCTAATAGTATATATAAATTATTATTAGAAAATGCAAACACTAGACAAAAAGTATATTATGACAGGTATCTAAATAGCATACAAATAAATATAGGCGATTTAGTATTAGTCAAAAATGATACAGGACATAAAAAATATTACCAATAAAAGGGACCATAAAAGGTAATAGGAGTAAAAGATAGGAATAACTACATATTAAAAGATAGATATAAAAGTACAACAGTAAACAACAATAGATTAAAACGGGGAGGAACGTTTGAGTCACTTCTTTGGACGCGTCTCTACTTTTAAACCCGTACTCAGTCAGTATATAAATTTTGAGCTTATGATTTCTGTACATCTACATCTAATATGTTTATTCTACATTTGAAATGTAGATTATACGTCCAAAATGTAGTTTGTATTGCCACCGGTGCTGTTGCCACCGACTGGTTCTCTTTCATTGTTGAACAGCAGCCTTGCTCATCCAAGAACTCGTGGTCCTCAACTTATAATGCTGCTCTCTCCATTGAGCCTACTCGTACAACCGTAGCTGTAGTTTGGCTTTTAAGCCGCTCGTCGGCAAGCTCAGACTAACTATTTGCAGCGAATTGCATGACAACCCAATAGTCGGTCTAATTGATCTGCCCCGCTATAATATATTGATCAGAATACCAAACCTTTTCCACAGCGCAATTTAAAGTTAACGCGCTTAAATAATCCGTTATGTGTATAGTTTAAATTCAAATATTATATCCCATTTACGATACTTATTTACTATACTTAATTATATTTTAACAGATTAAAACATTAAAATTGGCAATTTTGTACATAAACTACTTAGAGGATCTTCTGGATGGAGATCAGGATGAAAAAGGCGTGTTTCTTGCAGAGCTTAATCCGGCACATCACAAAACATGTTGCGATCAGAATAAGTGTCTAAAAAGTGATTTTCAAGTAAGATTAATTTATAACAATGATTATACCCAGTACTTAAAGAATACCGCGCTATACTAAATTTGAGTAAGATTGGTAGATAATTACACATGGTTTTGAATTTGATTTATATGTATATGTTTGTGCTTTATTCCCGTGCAGGGCGGATGGTGGGTGATTGTTCATAAGAGCCTGCTGTTAGGCACGATTTATGAGGGTTTAATTGTGGACCCGGAAACTAGACAGACCAACAGAAAAACACTTGTGCGTTCGATTGACTTCCAATAATAAATGAGCCCGCATATTCTCCGCTCATAACAGAATATAAGACAACAAGATTTAACAATTCAAGAGCGTGATTTCATACATTTCTTTTTGTTAGAAGTTATAAATATAGGCAAGCAACTGATTTGCCTTAACATCGGCCGCGTTGACAGCCTATAGGTTTTAATCTATTGGATTAGGCGCCAAGCGGTGGATCGGTCGCTTGTTGGCCCCCGCCTTAGTCCTGATCACGGCCACGCCTACCTTCTCGTCAGCTCCTGGGATTACCTTCTCCACTATACCTGTGAGTTAGGAATTGGATCGATGCAAATAGCTAAGATAGAGAGTAACAAATCTACAATTCTTTGTCATCAACACTGGAAATTTTGCATTATGGGCTAGAGGAGCATTTAATAGTCGATCGCCTACTCGAACCAACGAAAACAAACATCAGCCCACTTGTTCTCCCAAAGTGAAGGAAGTTAAGTTTTGAGGTGATGCCTGCAACTTGAATAACCTTTTTATTTGTTCAATTTCCTTCGAAAATGCGTCTCTTTAGACAGCTTCCACTGCTGTTAGAAACGCTGCGACAAGCTCGTCTGATGACGGACACGTAGTAGTCCATTTTACTCCTTTTTATTAGGGTGAGGATGTGTTGGATTGTGTTCGACATCGACCGCGATAAACGCAGTGATACCTTCTTCGTCTCTTATGAAGTATCCGCTTCTGTCAAACGTAAATGAAGATTTTGAGGCCAATATATGGATTCTTTCTGCAAGAATGACGGACCATTGAACCAAAATAGTGAATCTAAGTCTGCTACTGATGATCCCCGAGATACTAGATCTGCAGGACTTTCTTTGGTGGGCACATGTTTTCATGAGACTGTCGAAGTGATGTCCTGTATCTTTGCACGACTTGAAACAAAGGTCATTAGCTGGGAGGGCTGAGCTTGCAGCCAATGTAGAACCACTTCCGAATCGGACCAAAATATAACCTTTTCTACGGGACAATTAATAATAGATAAAACTTCCCTCCACATCTTTGCCAAAAGATAAGCGGCACATAGCTTTAACCTTGGGACTGTTTTTGTCTTTAAGGGTGCCACCCTTAAATTTGCCGTTAATAAGATGACACTGAAACAATGACTAATGTTGAGCTCGTTTCAGTATACGCCACCACCCACACGGCCGTCTAACTTTGAGCCATCAGTGTATACGTGGATCGCATTTTCGGGTCCAGGTTCAGTCCTCCCTTAGTAGGATTGATACCTGGAAGGGCGTCGAGAGGTGATCACTCGGTATAGAGTAATCTGTCCCCTCCGATAGTTGCGGGAGTCTCGTCAAGATTCCCGAGTGTCCAAACGTGAATGCTTTCCAGAGTTTGGATTCTCTCATTCTGAGAGCGGAAAGAGTTGCCACCCCTTTCCCGATGAGTTCTACAGGGAGAAGGTACAGCATGGTATCGAGGGCTTCGCTTGGGGTTGTGCGTAGTCCGCCCGTTATGCATAGCTCTGCCATGCGTTTGACACGGCTGAGTTTGCTAAGGTGCCATTCCCCATTTGAGTCCGATGGTTTTTCTGCAGGTATAGAGAGCCACAGTGGCCTTCTTTACCCTATCCTCTATGCTCAGTTTCCAATCGAGCTTCCTATCGAGGATCAGACCAAGATACTTGGCATTATTGCTAAAAACTAGCGCTTCCCCATAGAGTTTTGGGGGAATCAGAGTCGGAATCTTGTACTTCCTGGTGAAAAGTACTGAGTTCCGTTTGGTACGGATTAACACCTAGCCCGCATTTTTCTGCCCATTGGGACAGTTTTATGAGAGTGCTTGTCATGCACTCGCATAGCGTCTATAGCCTCTATCTCTCGCAGCAGTTCATTTACTGCTACGTTCCATAGGAGGGGCGAGAGGACTCCGCCCTGCGGCGTACCTCTTCTGACAAACATGGTGGAAGTTGACGTCCCCAGTGAGGCCTCAACGGTCCTGCATCGAAGCTTCTGATCGATGAGACTCACCGTCCGGGAATCAGTCCCCAGGTCCGTCAGTGCACCCGTGATGGCGGTCGGGATTATGTTGTTAAAAGCGCCTTCTATGTCAAGAAAGGCCACAAGTGTGTACTCCTTACAGTTAAGGGACGTTTCAATGATCGATATGATCGCGTGTAGGGCCGTTTCGGTGGATCTTCTTTTCCGATAGGCGTGCTGAGAATCAGAGATTAGATTGGGCGGAATACTCGCCCTGAGATGCAACCCTAAAAGCCGTTCCATCGTCTTTAAAAGAAAGGACGAAAGACTTATTGGTCTGAAATCTTTGCGGGCAGTGTGCGAGGGTTTACCGGCCTTAGGTATAAAAACGACTTTGGTCTGAAGCCATGTGTCTGGGATTTGTCCGTGAGAGAAGACTCCCTCGTAAATCTGTTTGTGCCGGCGTGAATCAGTTGGGCTGGGATGATGCCATCTGTTCCCGCAGACTTGTATGGCTTACAGCTTTTAATTGCCCAGGATATGTTCTCCTGACTTATCATGCTTAGAATGGATCTTGAGGCAACAGAAGGAGGTGTGCTGTAGTTTGGTCTGTTTACAACGCAGCCTGGGAAGTGTGTGTTGAGGAGAAGGTTAAGCGATTCATTGCTGGACGTCGTCCATGACTGATCAGCTTTCTTCAGGTACCCCAAGGTTGGGGTCGACTTCGATAGTATTTTGCGCAAGCGTGAAGCTTCGGAGTTACTTTCGATTTCACTGCAGAACTTACGCCATGAGGCGCGTTTGGCTTTCCTAAGTTCCTTGTTATAGGTTGACAGACTGACTTTGTACTCGTACCAGTTCTGCTCAACATTTAGAGCTTTGGCTCTGTGGAAGAGTCTCCGTGAGGCTTTCCGGAGTTCCCCCAGTTTCGGAGTCCACCATTCTGGCTTCTTTCGGCCCTTCGATTTAGTAGGGGGACAGGATTTGTCGAGAACCGCATTGCAGGCGTCGGTAAATGTTTTCACCAGATTGGTCGTGGTCTCCCGTAAGATATCTCTTCCGGACGGGGACTCAGGGAGAATACGGCCCATGTGGTCTGAGTAACGAGTCCAGTGTGTTCGCCTGAGGTTCCGGAATTGGACTGGGCTCGGTATGGAGAATGAGAAAACAGTTTCCACGTGCCTGTAGTCCGAGAAGGACTACTACTTCAAGGATCCTCCAGGATACTATGTTATTCTGTATCGTGTGAGAGGCAAGTGTGAGGTCTAGGACCTCCTCGCGATTTTTAATAATAAAGGTGGGATCGTTCCCCCGGTTTAATATGACCATCTGAGTGGTCAGTATATTCATTGGTGTTCATTGTTTATTGGTGTCAGTACTTCCCCACTGACTGTGGTGTGCGCTGGCGTCGCATCCCACAATTAGGCCGATGTCCTTGGCCTCGCAGTCTGCGATGAGAGACCTTAGGGGCGCCTGTGGAGGAGGGTCAGGTTGGTCGTGACCCATGTATGTGGAGCACATCCTCAGTGAGCTCTCCTGGCCTTCGAGGCTCACCGCTGTGTGGTCTTCGTTGCTGAAATTTGGGAGCAAAAATAAGTGTAACTTTCTTTCTGCAAGTATGCAGGTACGGGTTTTACCTGTGGTGTCAGCTACGTATAGCTTATAGTCTTGAGTCCTCAGACCGGAGACCCTGTTCCGAGGATCCAGGGCTCTTGAATGAGGACAAAGTCGGCTCCATCCTTGGCTAGGTGGAGCAGTAGGGCAGCGCATGCTGCCTTACAATGATGGAGGTTTATCTGCAGGAGTGTCAGGGAAATTCCCGAGATTCAGCTCCACCATTGTGTTGTCGGCATCGTTCTCGGTGGATCCATTGTCCTCTCCTACATCGATGCATCCGAGAGCCCTGGCTAGGTCGCTTGCATCCGACTCGTAGCGGTCCAAGATGTCGTCCGATATCTCGGACGCTAAGTCCCACGCCGCGGTTTGGCTTTCCGCTTCCGAGACCTCTGGCTGCTCGATATCTGGCTGGATCTGTGCTTGCATGCCCTTAGAGTCGGATTTGTAGGCGGCTATGGTCACCTTCCAGTAGCCACAGTCCACTACTCTGTCCGACTTCTTCAGAAGTACGAGAGACTCTTCATTGAGGACGAGGATTATCTGGCGCCTCTGTCCAGTTACCTCATCCACCTTAGCCATCTTCCAATCGGCTGTAGAAAGGTGGGTGTTGTAGACCTGCAGCACCTTTATGATCTTCTCCGGCTCTGCAGTCTTCACCGAGAACCACGCTCTGGCCCCCGGTCTGCTGGGGATGTCTTCCCATTTGACGGCCTCCAATTTGGCCCCTGGGTAGACCTCTTTGAGCGCCACCACTGCCTTCGTGTAAAGGGCCGCCGAGCGAGCATCTTGGCAGGCGATGGCTTTCACCGTGCTTTGGTGCCAGCCGGCGTCTCGAATTTAGGCAGTGGCGCGCTATTCTCCGCGAGCTCCTCCAGAAATCTGTCCTGGAGCTCTGCATCGACCAGATGCCATTTGTCCCGAGGGACATTACCGTCCTTGCCGGTTTTGTCGGGTTGGTTTTCGCCGGGTTGGTTTTCGCCCGCTTGGCTTGCTGGGCTTGGCCTGGCTGTATAGCGGGACCCTCCGCTGAGCGTTGCCACTTGGTCGGGGCCTTGGCTGCACCCTTTCCGGCTTTGGCTGGCTGAAAATCCAGGATTATCGAGCTGGCCCATAGCCTCTGCTCCAACCACTTTTCCGACGACTTGAAATCCGGGTCGTCGTTGGACAGGATGA